GCGACTACGTAGCGCTCCATCACTGCACCGTACGCACAGATCACGCCGACCTACTCTACCTTGTGGGAGTAGACAAAGGGAAGGTGTTCCGCTGGGCGCTGGCGCTCAGCAGGTTCAACTTCACCTTAGAGTTCCTGTCGGGAGAAGAATAACATGGCGGACTGGTTGTCGCTGTACGCAGCGGAAGATGAAGAGTGCGACGCAGAGATCGAGGCAATGGCTTTGGGCCGTAGAGTGATAGGCCACGTGGGCCAGCTGCTGGGGAGACACCAGGTGTCGGAAGGGGACTTTATGAGAGAGTACCGGCAGCTGGAGCCGCAAGGAGTGCCTGGAATGAAGAAGGATGGCAAGTGGTGGCGGCAGGCCATGACTGGCAAGGTGTACGTCCCGGAGCGACTGAGAGCGAAAGTGGTACTGAACTTCCACTATGGCACCCGTGGGCACCTGATATGTGCCCGGACTCGAACGAGAGCTCGGCTGACGCACAACGTGCCGAAAGGGGAGTCTGGAGAATCCGGGCGCGATGGACACAGTAAGCCTGGGTCACGTAGGCTGAGTCCATCTGACGACGGCAACGTATAGGCCGCAAGGGAACGGCGTCGACGAAGCCTCCCACAAGGCGCTCAGAAGCGGGTTCAGAGCACTAAGAAGGACACCGCGACCTGGGTAGGATGGTGGCGGCGGTCCGTCGCACGCTTAATACGACACCGCACATCAGCACAGGTGTGACGCCGTACGAGGCCTTATTCGGGAGACCACCGTACTTCGCGCGGTTGCAAGAGGTAACCGGCACAATGACAGAGGAGCAGAGGAAACAGAGCCTGGCGGCACAGATGCGCGAGACATTGCAAAGGGCCATGCTCACAGATACGCCGCTCGAGGAGTCGGGCGCGGATGATGTGCGGGTAGTAGAAATAGTAGTCTCGATGGAGCCAGGGTTACAGGCAGACGCCAGGGGAGGACCGAAGACACCAACTTGGACGCACACCGCGTGGTCGCTACCAATGAGGGTAACAGAGTTGAGGAAAACGCAGGTAGTGGCAGAAAGATGCGACGTGCCGGGGTGGACGGTCACGGCTCACAAAGACCAAGTGAGGAGGTTCAAGCTGAGCACGGATCCACTACTGCGGTGGGCAACCCAAGAGTACGTCTCAGGGCAGCGCGAGCTGGAGGAGCAGGCCGAGAACAGGCGGGAGACGAACGACGTTGGCATGAAGACAGAAGCCAACTGGGATGAGTTCTTGGGAATGATACAACCCTTCACCTGAGAAGCCGAGGGGGCGTGTTGATATGTCAGAAAAATGTTCGGAAAACATCACGAAGTGGCTGTTCACCGTTTTGTGGCCGAGCGGTCAGGTAGTACGACTAAGGAAGCGCCCTTTCCCCACAATAAATGATTCGCATGTAGTGATTCGCATGTAGTGATTCGCAGAAAAAGAGGTTGTTCGTTTTTTCAGAGTGAGGACGACCTAGTTAGAATGTCGTCGCTTCCAGGACCGATGCCGATGAAGAGTACTGGTATCTGTAGTATTCGTTCGATGGTTTCAACATAGGCTTTGGCGTTGGGTGGCAGGTCTTGGTAGGATGGTAAGTGAGTTATATCTTGTTTCCAGCCGGGCAGAGTGAGGTATTCGCATGATAGAGAGGCGAGTTCATCAAGGTCTGCTGGGAAGTATTTTGGGTGGCATTTGGAGCCGTCGGGTCTTATGTAGTTGATGGCGATTTTGATGTCCGTTAGCTGACTCAAGACGTCCAGTTTGGTGAGCATGATGGAGTCCGGTGCGCTGATAAAACAGGAGTACTTGACCAAAGCCAGGTCCAACCACCCACAGCGTCTGCGTCGTCCTGTAACGACGCCGAATTCTTTGCCTTGTTGTTGCAAGAAATCGCCGACATCATCTGTAAGCTCGGTCGGAAAAGGCCCAGAACCCACACGGGTCGTGTATGCCTTAACGACGCCAACGACATGCGTCAGTCGACGCGGGTCCAACGACAACCCGGCACCCATACCCGACGGTAGCACTGTAGAACTGGTGCAGAACGGATACGTACCAACATCAATATCCAGCATTGTCGCATTCGCGCCTTCCACCACTACATGCCAAGGGCGACTTAGCAACGTACGTCCCATATCCAACTCCACTGTCCCGCTAGGCACAACGGGACGTAAGGGCTGAGCCAAAATCTCGTCCATGGTAACTACTATGTCTTGAACCAGTGGTGCAAATCGGACCCGGAGTTGCTTCAGGTGCTCCAATTCCAAGTATAAAGGCCTGAGGTCTGTTAAGCCATAAGCTTGCTTAAAGAACTCGACCTCTTTCCAATAGAGCGCTTCGAATTCTGTCCAGGACTTGAGCAAGTCACAGGCTCGAAGAGAAATACGCAAAGCCTTTGCAGCGTAGGAAGGACCAACTCCCCGACGTGTAGTTCCGATGTTATCTTTAGTACCTTCTGTTCGCGCCTCGGTCAAACCATCCGCCAATAAATGCATTTGGCAAGTCAGATGTGCTCGTGAAGACAACACCACCCGATCGTCGATGCTCTCACCAACCAATGCCGCTACTGCATCCAGCTCTTCAGCCAACACCGATAAACTCACCACCACACCATTCCCGATCACATTCTTGCACCCCTTGTGCATGATTCCACAAGGTAACAAACGTAGCCCCACCTTTTGGTCACCATACACGATCGTGTGACCCGCATTCGCGCCACCTACAATGATCAAGTTTCTCCCCGCCTCCTCTCAACATGGAAACTAGCCCACGTGGATCTCCCCGCCTCCTCTCACGTGATGCCGCTCCCCCCCCCCCGCTCCCTCCCTGGGTGTTCGGTTACCGTTGTAGCGAGCGCATGCTTTGGAGTTTTGGGTGAGGACGTCTACAAGTTTACCCTTGCCTTCATCGCCCCATTGGACGCCAAAGACTGCCACTAGACTCATTAATTTCTGAAATGAAAATTAAGCGCGTTATCAGTGACAAACTGGCGAGCAAGCGCCGACGAACGACTGTGCAGACTACCATATCCCACGCGTCCGCTATGGGCACCGTTTGCACTAAACCCAATTCCCAATCTGCCTCTGCTGCTGCCGCGCCGGTGGCTCAAGATGCACCAGCACGTTGGACCCCTGAGAAGACGGATGATGTGCTTGAGCAAAAGTCACGGAAACGACTCTCGCTCGCACATGTACCTCGACCCAACACAGATGAACACAGCAATGACAGCGAACCGGAAGCTGAACGAGGAGCCGTACTCAAACTGTCCAATAAAGACAAACGCCAACTCCGACTCAGCGTCTGCGGTTCCACAGCACCTCGCGCCCAAGGGAACTTTGAACAGAAACTGGAACTCCTTCAGGGCAACCTCGACGAGGACCTGGAGTCCTTCGGTAACACCTCCCTCTCCCTCCCCCTCCTCCGTTCGAACACGTGTGCGAACATGTGTGCGAACTGCC